CCGGCGGGTAGTGATCAACGGCTCCATGTCAGGATGGCGCTCGGTTTCTAGCGGAGTGCCCCAAGGATCCGTTCTAGGGCCGGTTTTGTTCAACGTCTTTATTAACAACCTGGATGAGGGGATGGATTGCACCCTCAGCAAGTTTGCGGCTGACACTAATCTCGGGGGAGAGGTAGATACGCTGGAGGGCAGGGAGCGGGTCCAGAGGGACCTAGACAGATTAGAGGATTGGGCCACAAGAAATCTGACAAGGTCAAGTGTAGAGTCCTGCCCGTGGGATGGAAGAATCCCAAGCATTGGTACAGACTGGGGACCGACTGGCTAAGTAGCAGTTCTGCAGAGAAGGACCTGGGGGTTACAGTGGATGAGAAGCTGGATATGAGTCAACAGGGCGCCCTTGTAGCCAAGAAGGCTAATGGCATATTAGGGTGCATTAGGTGGAGCATTGCCAGCAGATCCAGAGAAGTGATTATTCCCCTTTATTTGGCACTCTAGAAAGGATGTGGACGCATTGGAGAGGGTCCAGTTGAGGGCAACTCAAATGATTCGGGGGCTGGAGCACATGACCTAGGAGGAGAGGCTGAGGGATTTGGGTCTGTTCAGTCTGCAGAAGAGAAGAGTGAGGGGGGATTTGAGAGCAGCCTGCAACTCCCTGATGGGACGTTCCCAAGAGGCTGGAGAGGGGCTGTTCTCGGTGGTGACGGGTGGCAGAACGAGGAGCCATGGTCTCAAGTTGCAGTGGGGGAGATCTAGGTTGGAGATCAGGAAAAACGATTTCCCTAGGCGGGTGGGGAAGCGCTGGGCTGGGTTCCCTAGGGAGGGGGTGGAGTCTCCATCCCTAGAGGTGTTTAAGTCCCGGCTTGCCACAGCCCTGGCTGGGTTGATTTAGTTGGGATTGGTCCTGCTTCGGGCAGGAGCTGCAATATTTACCCAATTTCCACCCACATGACAGCACTTTTAATGAGCAATGACAGTCCAGGTATTTGATGACTAAGACGTGTATCAACAGACCGTTCGATTGACGACTTTTTTGTTTTGGTTTCACAACCGTCCAGGAATGTAACGACTAAAACCCATCGCAACCCAAACCGCACCGTAAACCCAGACTGCACCGCGAGCCACAAACAAACCAGCCGCGGGCTGCATGTGGCCCATCGGCCGCGTGTTGAGTAGCCCGGGTTTTATTCATGGTCATCTAAGCATCCTTCCATGACGGGAATGCCCAGCCTTTTGTTGTGTTAATCGCCCGGCCCCCTTCTGCTGATAAACAACCTCTCTGCCCCAGGGGCAAAGCTGGATCTGGGCATGGGCTCTAAGCAGACCTTGTGTGAAATTCAGGGGTTCAAATATGGGGGGGCTGTGGATCCTTTAGTCCCCCCATGAATGGTGCCCTTAGGAACTCTGTCTCAAACAATTCGGTGTCTCCTCTCTTTTGCAGGCAGGGTGACCTGAGAGAGGGCTGGAATGTGATCCTTTGCCCCTCCTCGGTGTGTGTGTGTGTCGGGGCACCTGGCCCTTGTGCACCCCCCATGACAGCAGTGGGGGGGGGCTGGAGGGAAAAGTGAGGGGCGTGTTACGGGGACTGTGGACGGTGTTTGTTGACTTTGCGTCAGAAGGCTCGATTTGGGCCTGGGATACTTACAAAGAAATACACGACTCCTGCCAGGCCAAGAGTTTGAAAATGCATCACTTGCCAAGGCTGTAACCTCATATCCTTGCTATTGTGAGAGGTCGCTATCTTGGGGCGTCCCTGTGCTCAACATTTTATTATAATAATTCATTTCCCCATCAGAGCAGCCAGACTTTGTTGAACGCTGTTGAGGTCCGTCTACACTAGCTCATTAGTTCGAGCTAGTGTAGACGTACCCTTAGAGGTTTCGCTGTCACAGCATCATCCGGCGAGGAGTTCCACAGACCCACTGTGCGCTGCATGACGAACAACTCCCTTTGGTTTGTTTTATATCTGCTCCCTCTCCATTTCATTGGGGGCCCCAGTGCTTGTGCTATGAGAGGCAATAAATAACTTTTTCTTATTCACTTTCTCCACATTAATCAAGGTTTTCTAGACCGCGAACACATCCCCCCTTAATCATCTCTATTCCAAGCTGGAAAATCCCCGTCAATTTACTCTCTCCTCCAGTTGCTGATGCCTAACCGTTGTAGTGCCCTTCTCATGCCTTTTCCAAATAACCTATAGCTATTCTGTGGGATGCCCAGACTGCATGTTGTATTCACGAGGTGAGCAAACAGTGGGTTTATATGGTGGCACTCTCCTATAGCTATTCTGTGGGATGCCCAGACTGCATGTTGTATTCACGAGGTGAGCAAACAGTGGGTTTATATGGTGGCTTTGTGATAGTTTCTGTCTTATCTATCGATCTATCTATCCCCACACCCCATCTATCTATCTATCTATCTATCTATCTATCTATCTACGCTCTTTCTTTCTTTCTTTCTTTCTTTCTTTCTTTCTTTCTTTCTTTCTTTCTTTCTTTCTTTCTTTCTTTCTTCACACATACCCTCTATCTCTCTATCTATCTCCACCCAACCCCCATCTATCTGTCTATCTATTTATCCCCATCCACCCCATCTATCTATCTATCTATCTATCTCCACACAATCTCTTTCTCTGTCTGTCTGTCTGTCTGTCTATTCATCCATCCCTTCCTCCCGGTTCGGAAGGCCCTGGGAGCTGTCCGGCAGCCTCTGCGCGCTGATGGGGGTTGTCAGAGAACTCCCCCCAGGCCTGGGAGAGCTCTCCGGAGAGATCCGCACCCTTCCACACACAGAGGTGCGACTGATACATGCAAAGCAGGGCCCGTTGGGAAACACAGGCCGCCTTCAGCCTCACCGTCTCACCCCGCCTTGGCCCTGGCATCCCTCCCCCCATTTCAGTGCCTGGGGAAACATTGGGCTGAGCCTCCCCTGACAGCTGGCATGGGGCAGACAGCCGCTCATCTCCAGCAGAGGGAGCCCCAGCTGCAGAGCTGGGGCCCTTTCTGGGCTGCCCATCCCCACGGCCTCTGGCTCCAGCGGGGCATGCCCAGCCCTGGGCTCACCCATCACCGCAGCCTGTGGTGGGAGAGGCCTCTCCCCAGCCTCATCTGCACCTAACCTGGTAGCCCCCTCCTCCCAGGTAAGTGCTGAGTCCATCACAGGCTCTGTGGAGGGACCCCGGGGGAGCCCAGCTGGGCCAGCTGCAAAGCACCCATCCCCAGAGGGGGGCAGGGAGAGAGGTGGGGGGGGCTGCGAGCTCCCTGG